CGGGCGGGTTCCGTTCCCGTCGCCGGTGCGCTGGCCGGGTGGCCCTGGGGCTGCGCCGCCGTGCCCAGCTGTCCCCGGTGCCCGGCGGTGCCATGCGCACAGCTCGCGGAGCAGTTGAACGCGCTGACCGAACATACGTCGGCTGTTCGTGCGGCGAGCAAGGGACACCTCGTTGTTTTTGGAACAGGCTGAGCCTGTTCTGAGGAACGGGGAGTTTGGAGTTGGCGGTGGAATGTAACGGGCAGGCCCGCTCAGAAGGCAGTGGGATTGCCCACAGGAGAACGAGCATCCATTACACGTGACACGTCAGTTTTGTAGACACCGTGTGTGTTCAGACCTCAGTGTCAAATCCCGATTTCTGTGTTCCAGTTTATCCCGTATGGCACAGCTGGTTACATGCTGATAGCTCATCAATGGACTTGGAAGCTAAAGATGAAGAAGAGGAGAGTCTGCAAACAGCTTTCAAAAAGCTGAGAGTCGATGCAGCAGGGTGAGTAACAAAAAGGACTGTCCTTTGTCAGTTTCTTATTGCGTATTTGTAGTTGTTTTCTGTTGTTTTGAATTGCAAAACAAATGTCACAAGTTGGTGGAAGGTTCCTTACTCTCCAAAAGGAGACGGTTGAATCACTTCACGTGAAATGCAGCCGTTATAACTGTCTAATAGGCGAAGTGGGACTTTGTTACTGACTAATTTTGATACAACATCCAACTGAAATTACGCAGTGACTGCATGAAAACATGAAATGACTCGCACAAAGCAGTGAACCCACCTTTAACTGTTGTGGTAGCTGTAGTCACCTCGTGTGACCGAGAACTTGTTTCTCCATTCATGTAAATGCTGGGGTCTTCAGCCACGTTATCAGCCTTTACCGTAGTGCGTGAGAATTTGCTGTCGATTCGTGTCCCATGTTCCACAATTTCCTATCCCATGGTCCAAGTCACACGTACGGCCATCATAAGTACGGATTCCTCTGCTGAGGCATTTGTATTTGTTGTCTGGACCTCCAGGGCCAGGTGCTTTTATCATTCCATGTTTTTCTGGGAAATTTAGTGAGAAATAAATTAGTAATCTGTCCTTATCTGTTGCTGTACCTTGTCCACTGCTCCACTGACGACTCAGCTTGCTGCTGTTGGTTCCTGACTTTGCACTTTAGATGAGCAGGAGTCTATCTTTAACAACTATTGTCTGACAAGAACATTTGGAACCTGAGTTTACATTCCTTTAATGTGTCATTTCCATACAAATAGGGGATGACATCAGCCTCTGGGCATTCTGGTCTCCTTTCATTTCATGTCACCTATCTTTAGACACTTGTCTGAGGTCGATATAGTAGGAGCAGTCAAATAAATCTCTGTAATATCCTATTTCTAACCGCTGACTATAGAGGAAGTCAAGGCTGCAAACTTAAATGTCTTAGCCAAGCACCTAAAGCAAATAGGCTGAATCCAGCCCTCTGAAGCAAAACGTTCAGGTGTTACTGTAACGTGGCGTTTTCCTTTTTGCTCAGATGTATTGCAGCTCTGTCTGTGGGCGATGGGACAATTCTCAGAACGCGGATACGAGCAGCCATGGATGGAGCCAAGCAACAGCCTGTCTGCTCAAAGGAAGCGTGGCATGGGTAAAACATACCATTCATTGCACCCTGCATGTGTTTCTGGCTTGAGACATTTAACACTTGCACATTGTATTCAGTGAAAGTTGTTGTTAATTACTTGCTTCAGCATAGCTTTTCTCTCCTTTCTGTTACAAAACTTTACCATAACTGTTTGATATGAAGTTTTTTAAGGGGCATTCATCAAAGACTTTAAAAACAATATTGCCTCTTCTCTTAGAGAGGGTACCTAGAAATTTCTCTTCCACTGATTTCCTCAGAAGTACTTTTCTTTAAGTCTAACACCTTTGCAAAACCCTCTCACCTCTCTCTTATTTTATTTCTGTATTCTAATACCTAGATGTACAGTGCCATTTTGCTAGCAGCTCCAACTGATACCCGGGTTCTACACTACAGTTCAGTTTGGGGTCATAGAGTACCATTTGCTTAACACAGAAGATTTGAGGGGAAGTACCTTTAAATAAGGGCTGTTCTTACATGTGTTTTCTTTGGGAGAGCCCAAATTTCTTCAGATTCCTCCACTGTTCTTTTCAGAGATTGTATGTGACCAGACACCTGATTTTTCTAAGCAGGAAAAAAAAAAACCAACTTCTAAAATGTTTTTAGCAACATTTTAGAGCTTATCAAGCTATCGTGTGGATTCTGGAGTTACCTACTTGCTCACCTGTTATAACCCTGCAGGTGTGTGAGAAAGCCTTCCAGAGGATCAGCAAGAGTCCCACGTCGCAGACGCTCCAAGTCTCCTGTCCTGCATCCTCCCAAGTTTACGTATTGCAATATGAAAGCCAACAACCAGCTGAAACACAAAACCCAGGCAGACACATCAAAAAGTAGTGTCAGTTCGGACATTTTTGTTACAGCAGAACACGGTACGAAGGACAGCCACGACTCTCACTTTGAGGCCAGTGATGACAGAACTGAACCTTTGGAAGCTTTCACCGCCGAAGAGCCTTTGGAGAAGTCAAGAAAGAATTACCCTCCTCTCTCCTCATCCTTTGAAACTAGCTTGCATTCTAGCCAAACCTCTGATTTCCAGTCCTTATCCATGCTTAGCAACATCAAGCAGTGCCCTTGTACGGACAAGAAATGCCAGTGCAAACAGTGGCGAACCATGGAAGTGTACTCTTTCTCTGGCTTACGGAGCGTCCTGTCAGAATGCGAGAAGGCAGTCCTAGGAGTCCATGCCCAGTCTCTTCAAAATAGATCCCCTTGCGGGACAGCCCCATCAAGTTCTCCTAGATCTTGTTCTGAGCAAGCTCGAGCCTTTGTGGATGACGTCACTATCGAAGATCTTTCAGGATACATGGAATACTACTTGTATATTCCCAAGAAAATGTCTCACATGGCAGAAATGATGTATACTTGACTGAAAGCAATAGAAAATCCCAAATCAGAGTTTGTGGTAATGGTTGGGTTAAAGGCCTTGTCAGTGCCATGTTTTCACTGCTGTGTGTGTGATCAGACGTTTCTTTGCCTCATACAGTTTAGTTTTCTAATAAAATGAAAAATGGAATATAGTTTGCAAGCTTAGTTCTAAACAATGCACTAAAGTCTCTGAATACTTTAACAAAAGCACTGTAGATCAAATGAACTCCCTTTGTTTTTTGATTTGTGCTGTGGATATTCAAGCTCTATATGCTGTTTTCACTATGTTTTGAGGGGGGACAAAAAAAGCGCCTTTTAGATTTTGTTCCAAAATTTTGCAGTGTTTGGAAGGTTCATTCTTAGTGTGTCCCACCCAGTACTTAGAGAAATGTTTCAGAGCTGTAGCTCTATCCTCCTCATCCTGCTCTGCAGAGAAGAATGAGAAGGCATTCAGTATTTTGGATAGGATGACTGCCCTTTCCTTGGACACTATCTGGCTCCTTTTTAGTTGGATCAAATTGTGAGTGCTTCCTCCTCACAGATTTGTTGGGAGGTCCAGAATGTACGGGTGTGTGCTTGGACCTTTTCATAATTTAACTAGCTCACTCTTAAGCAGTTTATATTTTTCTGCAGATAAGTGAAGCTCTTAGAAGCAAAAATATATTTTGTTATTTGTGCTTTACAGGTGGGATAGTTTAGGAGGAAGTGAAGCAGGCCAGCAGTTTTTTTGGCCATGCTATCTCAGAAGTGGAGGTTGTGGAGCCACCTATACAGGTTGTTTCTGAGTATGTTTGATACACAAAGCAGTGTGGAAATAGGGTAAACAAGAAGTGTGTATCATACAGGCTTTGTGGTGTAGAGCTATAATGTTCCTTCTGGTTGAAAATACTGAAATAAAAAATTTTGTTGCTGAGACTTGCATTAATAAATGTTTGTCAAAACCCAGCAAATTAAAGTCTGAATGATTTGACTTACACCCATCTTCCCTCACAACTTTAAAAAAAAAAAAAATCAAAACAACAAAGGTCTGCTTTCAGTGTCACATGCTAAGCAACCATGTTTGAGTAAAATACTGCAATTTTTACTTACTTAAAAATGAGTGGTCAGCAAGCCAAGGAGTCACAAGCAGTTGTATAAAAATAGATGGTAGCAGATGTAGAGGGTTGGCCTTGTATTCTGTGCTAGAGAAGGCTCAGACATTCTAGGTGATAATCGCTGTCTGTAGATTTTATTCTGATGATCCCTAAAATCTATACTACGAATCCAGGAAGTTCAGATATAAAGTTCAAATAAATCCAAATAAGTTAATGTAAGACTACAACTAAACCTGTTATTTTGCTCTTAAGTGTCACACAGTTATTTAATGAGTGATACTGGCTCGTACACTCCAGCTGATTTCTAAGTTTTCTCGGATTAGAACTTTACTGCCCCCTTCCTCTTCCAGCACTATCCATGCCCACACACGGTTTTAGTTGTGCCTTCTTCACTTTTTCCCTTCTCTCTCCCTTCAGTAAATCTAGCATAACACGTACTTTGCTTTTAAACGTAAGTATTTAGTACTAGCTGTCTTTGCTGCTGCTGGTTTTCAAAGGCTATTTCTGCTTCAGCAGAGAGTGTTTGCTCATGTTTCTGTTTTAGTTTTGTGCCCTCTTTAAAATGGGCAGCAGGTATTGTTGCTAGTCCCTTTCAGACTCGTAACGATTCCCCTGCCTCTCAGTGAACATGGACTTGGAGTCCCTGTGTCTGAAGCTGGGACATAGATCTTGAACACGCACAAATACAGTTGTTTAAAACTGGGATTGGTTGTCCCCACTCCCCTCTGCAGCTGGAGCTGCAGTGGCTCAGCGAGGCTCTTTTCCCCGGAACGGTGGTGTGGCAGCCTGGCTCAAGGTCACCTCGGAGCAGTTGTTTCTGCTGTGGAACACAGTCCTGCTTCTCTTTAATAAAGCGTGCACAAATCCCTGCCAGTGTCTAGGCCTTCTAGCTGATGATACATAAAACTAGCAGTGACCGACGATGTTGGAAGGACACGAGTCTCAGCTGTGGAGCAGGACAGCGTGCAGCAGGTCTGCTGTGTCCAGGGAGAGTTGGGGAACTATGGAAATTGTGAAAGTTAAACTAGTCAAAGATACGCCCTGAAGTTTAAGGCTGAGAAGTTAATTCAAATTGCCACAAGGTAGGATGGGGGAGAAAAGTGACAGCGGGTTCTCCAGGCACGTTTCTATAGTGTCCTGTGCAAGACAGAGGTAACTACTGGTGAGGGAGGAAGGAAAGGGGTAAAGAGAGGCAAAATCTCAGCGGTTTCATATTCTGCCTGAATTACCATTTGTGCCAGTGGTTAAGCCTGTTCAGCGCTGCCTGCGGCAGAGGAAGGGCAGATATTTTGGATTCTTGACTGCAACTATCAGACTATAGCAAATGTACCAAAATATTGCTACTGATGTTCGCATTGCTCAAACCATCTCGCTTCAGTGAAATGCTGAGCTCTACAAGAGGACTCAATCCCAAACTTACTGTTTCCTTCAAAGCCTCTCCAGTTCAGCTCATCTGCTTCGCCCCTCCAATAACTCAGTGACTCCTGCTTGCTGCCCCCCCCGAAACCTCAACCTTTCCTAGCAAACGACCTCTTCTCTGGGAATGCCTGGGCAGCACGATTAGCTTGATTGATGAGCATCAGCGCTCAGCCTCAGAGGTGGCCTGGCACAGGCAGTGCTGAGCACAACCTTGCCAGTTTTTTTTGCCGTCCCTGCCCCAATAAGCCTGGGGGCTTCTTTTCTGTCCAGGGATGCTCTAGGATGTGTCCCCCAGTCCGTCTACAAAACAACATCTAAAATTTTCTGAGAAAGCACTGCGGGACTTGCAGTGCTCCCAGGACTTTCCTCAGAGTGGATCCTACCTCTCTACTTCCTATCTCAGCAGATCCAGGCTGGTTTATTTTCAGTGGCTTCGCCCCAATGCCGGCACTTTACAAGTTATTTGCCTGTCTAGTTTCAGGACTAGTTCAACCAAAGCCGGATGCAGAAGGGCACCCTGGATCAAGGAAGTTTATTTCTCACCTTGCAGAAGCCAAACCGAGTCCTAGCTAAGCTTTACATTGGCAGACGCTGAATCAGGCCACTGGGAAAAAAAAAAAAATCAATGAAGCTGATTCTACAGCCCGATTTCCATCCCCTCCTTCTAAAACGGAAGGCGCTTCTGTCCCTGCAAAGTCCCATGACCAATGCCTGCTGTCTCCCCTCGGTAACGTTTGCATCAGCTCTGAGATGAGACACCCCAGATTGTGTATTTCTGACTGCCAGCACCCACAATCCTGCCCCGAAGGCACCTTCTGCCAGGGTGCAGCTGATGCCACCGGGTCCGGCCACACAGCATCCCACAGGGCAGCCCAGCATCGACCCCTTTTGCAGGTGGAGAGACTGGAGACAAGACCTGGTGATGATCTTAAGGTCACACAAGGTCAGGGCACCCCTAAAGCAGACTGGCACCAATCCTGCCCCTCCAGCCTTGCTCACTTTAGCAAGGCAAAACCCAACTGAATAAATAAGTGCCTCCAGAGGCTCCATGTACCCGCAGGACCCAGAGGGCTGCAGCAACTCGTCATTTTTTATTCCCAACGGCGCAGCATTAATTCATCACAAAATATGCCACTAGATGGAGCTTTTTGGACAGCGATCTGCGGGAGAGAACCGCTTCTGCTTGGGCAAGCTGCTCTTTCCTTTCCGAAACCCAAAGGTGAAGGAAGCCCCAAAAGATGGTTCTGGGGCAGCAAGGGCTCCAGCAGAGCGGAGCGGGCGGGGGGGAGGTTGCAGAGCAGAGGGCAGGAGGGCACCGTGCCATGGGGCAGCTCTTTGTTCAAAGCCCCATTTGCTCTGAGTTTGCAGCAGCCCAGGCCACTGCCCTGACTTTGCAGCCCCAAAGTAGAGGCCAAGCAAGAGTCTTTCCCTGTGAGTGTCCCCCAGGCCAGCGCGGGTTCTCCAACAGCACTTGGGAAGCCCTGGTCTTGCCAGGGAGGATGGTTTTAGGGGCTGCTGCCTACAGAGGAGAAGGCAGGGCAGGACATGGCGCTTCCCAGCCTCATCCCTCTGCCATTGTGTTCCCACACACCCCCAGGAGCAGAACATCACGACACCAAAGGATTTATTTTCACCTCTCAGTTCCCAGAAAATTGCTTCTTTCACTCTGCTCATGGGACCCGCTATTGGTTTGGAACTTGCTCTTTCACAGTGCTCTCAGGAGAAGCGTGCCTCAGTTTCCCCATTTGAACCAGCTCTCCCAAATGCTCCCCTGTTTCCCTCCACAGCTGCCGCAACCCCACCAGCTCCAGCATGGGTGGAGATTGGAGCTACACATGGAGGAGTCACGTTTGCACCCAGAACCCTCTCACCCCCAAGGCACAGGCTGGCTTCTGGCACCCAAATCCTCCAGAACCTGCCCCTACGACCTCCAGAACCGGACTGGTTTTACCCCCCCCAGCACTGGCAGCTAGTCCTATGTATGAGAACTATCTCCAGGCTGCCAGATTGTTGGAGATGGAGCGTAACAAAGCTAAGTGTCACAAAGCGCAGGCCCAGAAGTCCAGGTCACCATGCCCAGAAAGGTGTCAGGTGCCCATATGTGTTTGCCTGCAAACCTCTGGTGATGTTTGTAGCGCCTAGTGAGCAGCAGCTCCAGAAACCCCAGTGCTCTCCGAGCAGTGGAAACCTGGCCAGTTTGTAATTGTGGCACACCTTGCTAATTCTGGAAATGAACCCTAACTGTGCCCACTGTGGTGCGGGAGGGCTCATCCAATTTGGCTGTGCACCCTGGGACTCCGCTACACAGTGAAGGCTCCTGGGCTCTACCTCGGTACAGGCTACATAACACCCATTAGGCAGTAATTAACCTGTGCCCTCCAAAAATCACTGAATACCTTTAAAGAGCAATTGCTACTTCTTTCCATGAAGGTTGCAAGACACCTGCTAGACGTTTTAAAGCCAGTATCCATCAACGTAGCTATTTATT